CCCCCCCCCCCCCCCCCTTTTTTAGCTCAGTAATATGAGTAATATGTGCATGAAGATTTGAATCTTTAATTTTTATTCAGGATATTATATCTTAGTTCTTCTATTTTTTTTATTACAATTTTTTTTCATGAGTTATTTATTTATTTATTTAAATAAAAAAGGTTTCTGACAGAAATTGCAATAATGAACTTGACTTCAATTTGTGTTTTCGTAAAAAGATATATTTTGATTTTTTTTTTTCCCCCACTGATCAATTGTTTTTCGTTTAAAGAACTTGTTTACAAAAATAATTTTTAGTCTCTTATTTTCATTTACTGTTTATAATAAATTAAAAATGTAGTAAATTTCAATGAGTTAATGTATTTAAGAAATCGTTTATAGCTATAATTTTTCGGAAAAAGGCTAATAATGTATGAATAACATGTTTCTGTTTGTAGTTTGAAATATGTTTTAGAGACATGATTGTTTTTTGTTTTCATAAATTGAATAGATTGAGCTTGAACACATCATCGCAATGAATTATTGATAATATTTGATATCATGTTGCTCTTGAAACCATTCCTCTTTTATTTTGAAAATATAATTTTATGTAAAGAAAACGATAGCGTTGTCTCTTCTAAGTTCTAACCTACCTTTCTATCTCTTTTATAGCGCAACCTTTTCTCGAATTCAATAAATCCTTTGGATTGGGTGATTGAGAATTTTCAAATTCTTGCCGAATTAGCCAGTAAAAACAAGGAGATTTGAGAGAAAGAGGAGATAAGAATTTGATATGTATGCCATTGGGTGTTTACTGTTTATAACTTATAAGTGAAATCCATGGTTACATAACTCTCTTAGATTCTTCAGGCTTATTTTTGTTGATGGTTCAATGGTTGCTTGTGGGAAGACTGTTGGGAGGGGAGCAGTCCTGATTGTCTTATGTTCCGTAATTTTCCCCCTTGAAGTTTTGCATTGGTGGCTTCTTCCCTTTCGGTCCTTCCTTTCCTACAATTTCCATTTTTCCATCTTGGACACCTTCTGTCTGATTGACAGTCTTTTGATGTCTCATTGATGCTTATTTATGTTTCTACCTGGGGTTAAGATTGTTTATTGACCTTATCCTCTTGAGGCGTTTTCCTGTGGCTCATTTTATCTTTTGTATGGGTCTCGCCTCCTCCATGTTCTCCTTGACCATCAATCTTATTTAGAGATCACCTTGTATTTTTCCAGGGGTCTTAGCAGTGCAACATTTGTAATACGTCTCAGAGAATCTAGAGGGCATGTCCTGTAGGAGTGTCTGCAAGTTCGATTTGAGACAGTATTTTGTAGGCTTTCGGAGTGCATATGATAGAGGTCTTGTTTGGAGGGAGGTGGTGTTGTTTCATCCTCCCTCATAAGCTAGGGGTAGATCTCTAGTGTGTGCCTTATTTTTAAGTCTAATGGAGGGTTTTGGGCATTTGTGATTGTAACTAAGAACAGTGACTATCTTCTCTTTTGTTCTTATTCATTGGACTGATCTTTCTTTTTCTCTCTGGAGTCTTTTATGTAATTTTTGTAGGTAGTTAGCTTTGTATTATGACTCTTTTACCTTTTTTATTATACAATTATTATTTTCCTCTTATGTTGTGTCTTTTATCAGGAGTATTTTTACGATTTCTCCTTATTCCTTTTACACAAGAAAGACATAGATCTTTTAGTCGTTACAGATTTATGTCATACTCTAATGAACAACCGGAAAGATTGATAATACAAGTAAGAGATTGATTACTGTCCAGGGTGGGATTCTTATCGACATAGGAGGGACAGTGATGGAAAAAGAGAATCACAATCTATGCCACGAAAAAAAAGGAAAAACAAAAAATATGAGTATATATATGTAAACACATAGCCTTATTCTGATCCCACTTCACCCACCACACCCACACATATCACTAGCTTTTTCCTGTTAACTCTTTTAATAAAGCATTTGATGTGACCAAGCATTTGAGAATGAGAAAGAGAGAGAGAAGGGGTTGTGTGTGTAGCTTAGCTTCGAGAGAGAGCACTGCACAAACATCTTTCTGCTGTACATGCACTTCTTATCTCACTTGGTATATTTATGGCAGAGGAATGTAAAGGTGGAATCTCTTCCCCTGAACACTTGACATTTCCCACTTTTTAACATTACATCTGTCTAAAATTACAGGTGAGAGATGGAAGAGTAAAAGACGTGACAAGGACCATTGCCTGCAAACGTACTGAGCTTCTCATGTCAATCATTGGTGGGATTTCTTCTGTCTTTAGGGATCATTTCACCATTTTGCTCAACTTATTGATTCTCCCCTTCATAGTGATGCGTGCTTCTCGACCCATATTAGTTATTCTCCACTCACCATCTCTTAACTTTTCATTAAATCCTCCCATCCTTCTAAATATCTCTTTTTCATTTATTATTTTAATATTTTTTTTGGTTGATAAATGCTCGGTTGGGAAATCGAAGCCGTACTAATTTTAGAGAAAGAAATATATATTTTATTTACAAAGAGAAAATAATAAATGTTTTATCCATGATGGTTGGTTGAAGTAATTGGATGTACCAGGCTCTATTCTCTGCTTGATTTGTTTGTCATTATGTAATGAAATTATTTGAATAAGCTTAGTTTCTTTCAAGAAAAAGAAAACCTCACTTATTTGAAAAATTGTTAATAGATTTTTTTTTTCTGTTAAAAATTTATTGCAGGTCTATTTTTTAGGAGTCCCGAATTTTGTACCAGCAGTTCCTGCATGTATGTATGCCCACACACCGTTCAATTATTTTATTCATACATATATATTTTTAAATAATTTTTCTTTGTTCAATAGCATGAAGAGATTCAAACTTCAAACTTCATCTTGATTATAGGTATATATCTTATGTATTGAGATATATTCAAGTTAGCCGTATAACTTTAAAAGTAGCACGATTATATACATATATATTTATTTATTGTGAAGGCTTATAAGATGCAGTGAATTGATAATTAATATGATAAATACTAATAGCCTTCCCAGGACATGGGTAGTGAAGACTTGGTAGGGTTCTAAGCTTACTCTATAAGAATTATTAATTTGAAGTATCAAAAACTTTATAGGATACTTATTTAGACAGAAATCGAGTGGTTCTACCTAATGTTAGCTGGAAAAAGAAACGGTCAAACCGACCTATTAATAGGGAAAACACCCTAATGGACCAAAGGTAATTCAATTAGTTTAATTCCACTATTTAAAAAAGTGATTACATTAACTATATTTCATTTGGTTTTTTTTCTTTCTTTCCAGGGTTTTAAGCAGGGATTTATAACTTTCAATTAAAATGTGACCAAGTTGATCCAATTATCGTTAAGGTATTTATCCTCTGACCGAATTATCATAATTTAGAGTCCCAAAATTTTATGTTGATAAAATATGTTCATTTACTTATGTCTTTTGATGAAATGATGAGCCAAACCCATATTTGTCTCCTGGCTTTAATTAATTAGAATGAGGTTGGAAAATTTGAGCTTCTCTAGCCTAATTTATACATATTTGAATTTAAAACTTTGAATTATAGAAATTAATTCATTTTTTCAAAAAGATATATCCAAATTTAATTCATAAACTCTGAACATCTCTATAATGGTCAGTACTTGAGAATAAAATTTAATGATAAAAAAACTTGTAAGAAACTGTGGTTGGTTTATGTTAATGGTGGCTTCACTCTTGTTTCAATGTCTAGAGTTTCAGTGAAGTCTTTCTTGTAGTGACGTACTCCATCTTCAAGAGATCCTCCCATTAACTGTAACTAAATCCATGACAAAAAAGATCAAATTAAAATTTCAATGTGATTCTTTGTATGTTCAATAGTCCTATTTTTTGAAAATTTCTTAATATATTTTGAAATTTTTCAAAAGTGTCTTCGTTCTTAAATTTTTTTATTTTGTTCTTAAATTTTTTACAACCCAACAGGTTAGATATATAAATTTAGTTTTATATGTTATATATCAATTTTTAAATATGTTGTATAGGTTAATGATTGAGTTGACACTAAATTAAAATGGCTTGTTTTATGTGGTATGAAGATTAGAAATTTCTATTTTAAAGAAGTATGGGATGTCAACCACCAATAAACTAGGTTAGAGTTTAAACTATATATTAATACGACAAGTGTGGGTTAAGGATTTAAATTTTTAATTTCAAACGAATTTTAGATGTCTTTTATCTATTAAGTTAGCCTCGTATTTGATATAAATTGTGATTATATGAATGGTGATTTGAATTTCTAAGGCTGTGAACGAGTAGATACCCTACCTCAACCCTTCTGCCCTACAACTATGTTAGGTGTAACATATTCTTTGATTTGATATTTCTCTCCACCACAGAATATCATTTTCATTTCCTTGGGTGGATAGGTTCATTTTGGAACGATGACAGAAGGAGAGAAATGATTGGCCAAATAGAGTAAACAAAAGTGAAGTGATTCACGTTCTTTTATTACCTTAGGTAGAAATTTCTTAGGAAAAATCGAATTTTAGATTGGAATAGTAAGAGTGATATGATTGTTTCTTTTTTAATTTATGAAAATGGTGGTGCATATATGGCATGGACACTTGGGGAGGGATAAATTCCTTGTCTAGTACGAATGCGAAAAACTTTATATTATTATTATTATTTAGGTGCTTTAGAACAGGACAGATTTTGTCTTAAGCATAAAATGTGTTGGGCAACAATTTTTTTTTTTTTTTTTTTTTTTTTTTGGAGGTGGGCCACGTGGTCGTCTAAGTTTTATGTATTCTCTATAACTGTACATACTTAGTGTCATCAATATTGACTCATTTTATCTCTCATGTCTTTTGAGTTCATTTAGATCAAATGTGTGAATTGTTAGTGTGATTCTAACAACTAGTATAGAGTTGGAAGATACTCACCACGATGATTGAAAATGGAAAATTCAAATATTGGAATTGAGTATATCATGACCATAGAACAGTGGAAGTTCAAGGATCGATAGACCCTTGAGTTGGTCCGATTGACGCTATAAAAAAACGTAGCGTTCAACATCATCAAATACAAGACAACGTCGGATATATTGAAGATGTTGTTAACTATTTACAAAAAAAAAAAAAATCATCGATTATGAACAAGATGTACTCGATGGGTAGATTATTAAATCTAGAAATGGATGAAGATGGGACTCCATCCACAAACGTTTTAGAAAGTTCCTTTGGAACAGTATTTTGTGAAGAAGGACAGAAAAGTTTAGTTTATAGGAAAAAGGAAAAAACATCCAAGTACCAATTTAATAATTCTTTATTTGCCGCCAACTTACTCTGGTAGTAATTTCTGTCATGAGTAATAATGCCAGACAGCTTCTTCATCAAGCTTATATAAGTAAGGAGGATATAAGAAAAGCAATAAAAAGAACTTGATGTGTCTCTTTACATCAAATCTAGATTATTTTATTTTATTTTCTGAAATTCATTGCTATAGCTTGTAGAATCTATTTTAAAATGTTAGTTTTCTCATATATTCTTCATTAAATATGATTTTATTATTAATTTTTTTTATAGATGGAATCGCTCTAAATTATTATTATTATTATTTTATTTTTTTTTAGAAAAAAAAAAAAAAAATCATCTGCAATACCTCCTTATTGTCTTTGATTCTGAAGTATATTACTACATCATCTCTTATCAACATACGAATATATCTTTCAAAAAAAAAGTGTGAATATAAACAAACACTTAACATGACATCTTAACATCATCAACAACATTTCTTTAGAAGTTCTTTGTCTTTTCTTCTAACTTATTTTTATGTGTGACTTGTAACAATAGGCGTGAGATCCCACGTCGGTTGGAGAGTATAAGAAAATATTTCTTATAAGAGTGTAGATATCTCTCCGTAGCAAACGTCTTATAAAACTGTAAGATTGATGACGATACGTAATGGGCTAAAATGGATAATAATGTTAGCGGTGAGCTTGGATTGTTACAAATGGTATTAGAGCCAGACATCGAGTAGTGTGACAGTGAGGACGTTGGGCCCCCAAGTGGGGTGGGATTGTGAAATCTTACCTTAGTTGGAAAGGGAAACGAAATATTTCTTATAAGGGTGTAGAAACCTCTCCTTAGTAGAGGTATTTTAAAACCGTGAAGCTGACAGCATGCGTAACGGGTCAAAACGGATAATATCTACTAGCGGTGGACTTAGTTGTTACAAATATTATCAGAGTCAAGTATTGAGTAGTGTATCAGCGAGGATGCTGGCTCCCAAGAGAGGTAGATTGTGAGATCCCACATCAGTTGGAGAAGGGAACCAAACATTTTCTATACGGGTGTGGAAACTTCTCCAAAAGAGATGCGTTTTAAAACCGTGAGGTTGAGGACAATACGTAACGGTAACGGGTTAAAGTAGACAATACCATTAACCCTTTGTGATTTTATTAGGATGCTCGAGAAGTTCCCTGTTCTTTAATCCTCTTTCCCAAGGCAATCAGGTCCACACATCACATACTTGCATTGTCATCATCTCCTGTTCCCTTTTCCCACAGCTATCCCATCTCCCTTTTCCCTCACTATATAAACTCCCTTCCAACCCTTTCTTAATGGTATACCTCAACCGCCTTTAACCACTCATTTCCTTTCCTCATAAACCTTCATTTTCCCCTCATTCCCACTTCCTGAAATGGAGAAAACACAATTGCGTAGGCAGCTAGCCAACATCAGGCAGTCCCTCTTTGATCAGGTAATGTTCATTAAATCTAAAGGGTTTTTGAAAGTGAATAGTATTAACTTAAAATTTGATTGATTTGGGCATTTTGCAGGGCTTTCTTGATGAACAATTCGTGCAATTGGAGGAACTGCAAGATGATGCTAATCCAAACTTCGTGGAGGAAATTGTTACATTGTATTACAGAGACTCATCCAGGCTGATAGTCAGCATAGAGCAAGCACTGTAAGTTGTTTTTCTTTTGCTGTTCTTCAAATTTCGAACTTCTTTGTTAGTTAATCTTTAAGTTTTTGATAAATGCAGACAGAAGAGCCCTCTGGACTTCAATAAGTTGGATGCTCTTATGCACCAATTCAAAGGAAGTAGCTCAAGGTAACAACAACCCAGTAAATATAGAGGTAAAGAAATCTGTGTGTTGAAGAAAAACATTGATGTTGTTTTGTAATGGGTGCAGTATTGGAGCCAAAAAGGTGAAAGCTGAGTGCACACAGTTGAGGGAATATTGCAGGGCAGGAAGTGGAGAAGGGTAAATATCTGTCATTCATATCCTTTCTTCTTATTCCCCTCGTTATGTTCTGGTTTAATTCACTTCAACGTGGACGGCTCAGATTGATGGAACATCAATTTCATCCCTTCCCCTAATATATCTTTAAAAGCTACGTCCCACCGCTAGTAGATATTGTTCTATTTGAGCTTTCCCTTTCAGGCTTTTCCTCAAAGTTTTAAAACGCATATGCTATGGAGAGTGTCTAGCTCTACTCCAACCCGTACCTTGCATCTAGACTCTTACTCCGACTAGTGTCTCGCAACGGTGAGCTTAGACTGTTACAAATGGTATAAAAGCCGTCATCGAACGATACAAGACATTAGTTAGAGTAGGAGTCTAGGTGCGAGGCACTGGTCAGAGTAGGGTTCTAGGTGCGAGGCACTGGTCGGAATAGAACTAGACCCTCTCCATAATAGATACATTTCAAAACTTCGAGGAAAAATTCAAAAAGAAAAGTACAAAAAAGACAAAATCTAGTTTGGGCGCGTAGAATATCTATATCATTTTCATATTATCAAAGTAGAAAGTAGGATGGGCAGGTTTGAGATTTATGGTTCAGTTTTGCATGCATGCAAGCAATGGAAACCATGACTGTAGGAAGTGAATATTATTATTATTATCATTATTACATGAAGAAAAAGGCACCAACTTTTATGAAACTTGTTGAAGTTGGGTCCGTACTGTTTATCCTTGTTGAGGGTATTAAAACTAAGAAACCCACTACAAACAAGTTAGAGGTTATTTTATTTACCAAAAACGAATGCATTTCCTGTTTATGATTATATGAACCTTTGCAATGAAAAACAGATGCTTAAGGACATTCCAACAACTGAAGAAGGAATATACAACTCTGAGGAAGAAGCTTGAAGCCTACTTTCAGGTTCTTATAGAAATAAAAATAAAAATAAAAATAAAAACTTCGTTTCCTTTTCTTACTTACTTTTGTAAGGTAACGTTTAACGTTTAGCTTTTGTGGTCTAATTCAGCTGGCAAGACAAGCTGGGCCCATTGATTCTGCCTGTCGGCCCAAGTAATCCACACGTGGATGACAAATGGATGACAAGTGGACGACAAAGCTGATGTGGCAAGATGTTATTGGAACTTTTATATGTTTCCTAATGTTATGTAAGCTCCACTTATGGATTGGAGCAGCCTGCCTGTGGGGGCTATGGGCTGCTTTTGTTTTTGGGTGTAGTTCATGAATGCAATTTTAATTCAAGTTTTGGTTCCTGTGTGATCGTTGTTGGGCCTTCTGAATCTGAACTCAACCTACCCATTATCGGCCCAATTATGTACTTTGGGCCTCCTGAATCTGAACTCAACCTACCCATTATCGGCCCAATTATGTACTTTGGGCCTCCTGAATCTGAACTCAACCTACCCATTATCGGCCCAATTATGTACTTTGGGCCTCCTGAATCTGAACTCAACCTACCCATTATCGGCCCAATTATGTACTTTGGGCCTCCTGAATCTGAACTCAACCTACCCATTATCGGCCCAATTATGTACTTTGGGCCTCCTGAATCTGAACTCAACCTACCCATTATCGGCCCAATTATGTACTTTGGGCCTCCTGAATCTGAACTCAACCTACCCATTATCGGCCCAATTATGTACTTTGGGCCCTTTGATTCTGAAATCAACCTACACATTCTCGGCCCAATTATGTACTTTGGGTCTTCTGAATCTGAACTTAACCTACCCATTATCGGCCCAATTAACTATTTTGGGCCTTTTGAATCTGAACTTAACCTACCTATTCTCGGCCCAAATATGTAATTTGGGCCGCCAAATCGCATAAGCCCAACTTTGAAACGAGGTCCGGAGACTAAACTCCATACTTTACTTTTATTTTAATGATTAAATAAATAAATAAGACATCACTAATTTGTTATTTATTCAATTATTCCAGATGGAGCATGGATAAAACTGATTCCCATTTATCGTGAAATAAAAAAGAATAAATAAAAATAAAAATGCGGAGGAAATATTATCAGAAAAGGCGGTGACGTAATAGATAGGTGGGAGAGATCCACGAAGGGCGTCCCCTTCTCCATTGCATTTGCAAACCCGAAGCACTTTCTCGGACCCGCCCACTCTCCCTTTCACTTCCTCCTCCTGGTTCCCACTCCTCTGTGCTTCCTTCTTAACCTGGGTTTCCTTGGTGCGCGAGGTATCTGTCTCTCCGGCCCCATTGAGGTGGTTAATCGCTCTTCGTCTTCTAGGGAATCGGTTTTTCTTTTCGGAGAAGTGTTGGCATTGGCAGAATCGCCTCATCTGTTGCTGCTTTCTGTGTTTGTTTCGTTTCCCTTTGTCTCGAACTTCTAGATTTGTTGATAGGGTTTTGTGGATTTCTTGTTTGGGAGGAGGGTTTTTGATGATTAGTTGGGAAATCTGAGTGAACTTCGACTTAGTGGTATTTTCGCGATTTTCTGTCATTGTGGGTTGTATTTGATCGAGTTTTTTTTGGGGGAGATTTAGCCATGGCTTCTTACAGGCCATATCCTCCACAATCGTCTTTCGGTCCTTCACCGGGTCAAAACCCGATTCCGCCTCCACCAGCACCACCGGCGGCTTCCGTTCCTACGCAACAGCGAGGGAGTAGTCAGTATAATCAGAATTGGGGTGGTTATGGTGGTGATGGGTCCGTGCCTCCTCCTGCTTCATCTTCATCGTATCCCCAAAATTACAACCAAGTTCATCAAAGTTCTAATTACCACCAGCAACATTATGGTCCACCGAGAAGCCAACAGCCTCCACCTCCTCCTCCTCCTCACCAGTCGTATCCTTATGCACCACAGCCGCCGCCGCCTCCGCCGCCCGATTCTTCCTATCCACCGCCTCCACCCCCGCCAGCGTCTTCGCAACCTTCTCAACATTACTTCCCCCCTTCACAATATCCCCAGGGTAATCAAAATCAGCAGTCAATCCAGCCACCACCACCTCCACCCTCATCTCCACCCCCGAGCTCCTCAATCCCGCCGCCTCCACCCCCAAATTCTCCACCACCTCCATCAGCGCCTCAGCCAAAAACAGAGGGTTCAAGCGTGGGAGCACACGAGCGTGATAAAGGGGTTACAAAAGATCCCTCATATGGCAGGCGTGAACGTGAAAATTCAAATCATGATAAACACCAGAGGCACTCTGGTCCTCCAATGCCTCCGAAGAAATCAAACGGTCCTTCAGGGAGAATAGAGACTGATGATGAGAAAAGACAGAGGAAGAAGAGAGAGTTCGAAAAACAAAGGCAAGATGAAAGGCATAGACATCATCTAAAAGAATCCCAAAACACTATTCTGCAAAAGACTCAAATGTTATCTACTGGGAAGGGGCATGGATCAATTGTGGGGTCCCGAATGGGGGAAAGGAAGGCCACTCCATTTCTTAGTGGTGAGAGGATAGAAAATAGGTTGAAGAAGCCAACAACATTTTTGTGCAAGTTGAAGTGAGTATGTAAATATTTTCGTTGTTATTATCTGGTTTCAATTCAGTACCATTTTGGCTATAATTATTGACATCTACTAAGAGTTCCTAGGATGAGTGAATGAGCGGAATGCTCAGTTTCCGTTAATTCTTTGTAGTTATTATTATCATTGTCGCACTCTTTTCTTGTGGATGCTTCATTAATTTTTGTTCTCTTATGGATAATGATATTGTACTTTGACGTCCATGCATTTCAAAGATTCCGGAACGAGCTTCCAGATACAAGTGCTCAGCCAAAACTCATGTCGCTGCGGAAAGAGAAGGATCAGTATGTATTCTTTTCTTTTGCCTCCAAACTTTGAATAGAAGTACAGCTTTTGGTTTACTGATATGTGGGGTATGTTTCCATTTATGTTGTGTTCTCCCTTTCAATCTTGCCCCTCACTTTGCTGGTAAATCTATTATGTGGTCTGAAGAATTTAGAATTATTTGGTTTAGCACAAAAATTATCCTTGTTGTGATATTGAGCAAAAAATGAAATAGTAGAAATTGAGTGAAATGTCTGTGCAAGGCATAAGGGAAATTGAGCAAGGTCAATAAGTGCACCTTTATTGTGATATTGAAAACTCAAAAAGCTAAAATTTGAGGTATTCGCTTATTAATGTTCACCTAGATATATAATCTTACTTGAACAGGATATTCCAGGTTTGTTCAGTGGTGTACTTGAGTTCTAAAAGTTCCATCACAAGAAGCTGGGTTGGCACTTTGTTCCTTTATCCTATGTTGGAAAAAATGTAGTTTAGAATCATGTGATGGTTTAGCTCTCAGATTTATTCTTCTATGCAAAGCATTATTTGAAAGACATAAGGTCAGATGTGTATTAACATTTAAGTCTCGCCGGTGACTTTTTGTGTGAAAAATAGGTTGGGCTTCCACTGTGTTTGGGTTGTATTGGTTGTTTCCACTTACAATTATTGAATTTCTTGTCTTTCGATGCTTCCTATCTTTTATTACCTTGCAAATAGGTTTGACTTAGTAATATGAGGTGGCATCTTCTATTTTTTGGGATGTTGCAGCTATACAAGATATACAATCACTTCACTAGAGAAAACGTACAAACCTCAGCTTTATGTAGAGCCAGATCTTGGAATACCTCTGGATTTGCTTGACCTCAGTGTATACAAGTATGGACCATATAAATACTTTCTTTAAAATGTTACTATTACGTGTGTGCCATTCTTCTAACTTTTCTCCATGTATGTTTAATAGCCCTCCTAGTGTTAGAATACCCCTTGCTCCTGAAGATGAGGAATTATTACGTGATGATGTATTGAAAACTCCGGTTAAAAAGGATGGTGGTATAAAAAGAAAAGAACGTCCTACTGATAAAGGTGTTGCCTGGCTTGTTAAAACACAGTACATCTCTCCTCTTAGCATAGAATCCACGAAACAGGTATTGATACCAAGGTTCTTTCATACAAATAATTTTTATGTAGTAGTGTCTATGCTAACAAGTATTGCATCTGCAGTCTTTAACTGAAAAGCAAGCCAAAGAACTGCGAGAAATGAAGGGAGGGCGCAATATTCTCGAGAACCTCAATAATAGGTTTGTCTTTTAACATCAAGAGATTTTTTTAAAAGAATATGCCAAAGTTGTATTTCTTGTGATCATATTCTTTACTGAATGACTTATGTTTTCCAGGGAAAGGAAAATTAAGGAAATTGATGCATCATTCGAGGCATGCAAGTCACGCCCTGTTCATGCAACTAATAAGAATTTATATCCTGTGGAAGTTTTGCCTCTTCTACCCGATTTTGATAGGTATGAAATAATTCAATCCATGATTGTGAATTTGGTGACTAAAATAATATATTTATCATAGTCCATTTGAGCTAGAATTTTGTGTTAACTTCTCTGCTAGGCTATGACACAATGTTATGATCTAGATGGAAATTAGTTGTTGGCCCTGGATGTTTTTGTGTATGCTCTTGATTTACTTTTCAAGAAATCTTGATTGCTAGCAACTATTCCATCTCTGATACCGGTCTTACAGCATCTTAGCATCTTATATGTATCGGCACTTTGTGATTTTTACAATAGTAAGATTTGTACCAATTGGAGGAAGTTTGCCTTATATCTCATTCGTTCTTATAAAAAAATATATTGTTATTGCATCAGGTATGATGATCCATTTGTTGTGGTTGCATTTGACAATGCTCCCACAGCTGATTCAGAGACTTTTAACAAGTTAGATCAATCCATTCGTGATGCACATGAATCACAGGTCAGTTCTGGAGGATATTGATACTTCAAATTAACACATTAATTTTATCGATTTTTCTTATTATAAAAATATTATTGGTTTTAGTTTTGATTGTTTTATCTTTTTTCATGTTGAAATTCATTTCAGATTTTTGCTCATCTGAGGGAAGGGTTTATGTGGCGTAATATTGTTTGTCAGATATTTCTAATTCTGGCAAGGATTTTTGTGGATTAGATTGGGTGGGTTGGGAATTATTTTGGACCTAATCCAGATGTTCAGGTTGGAAATTGGCCTATGAGCATTGTTGGTAATGACTTTGAGTTAGAATTCATAATAGGAAATGTCTATGAGAATTGCAATAAGAGAGTAATGACTTTGAGTTGGTTCAATAAAAAATACGAGGTGAGCTATAACTCAATTAATATATATAATTGCAATTTTACTAAGTTTATTGCTCATTTAAATTAGTTCTAATTAGGTTGATTGAATTTGAGTCTTCTGACTTCTTTGAGAACTCCTAAATCTTTAGTATCATACCAATGATA